AACTTGATTAATCAGCAGGTGAGAGATTTGTACTAATAATAGAGGATTGTCACGCGTGTTCAGGAACCGTATCCTCATAATGAGGTACGATCCTGAATAAAGTGTTTATTAGTATAACCAGGCTTTATGGGGGCTTGGAGCTGGTTGGCAAGATGCCTACTACCAGTCCCTACCCAGTGTGCTGGCTGGCTGGGAGCGATACCCAGTCTCTGATCTGTGATATAAAATGGTAGTGATGGTTAAGAAAGCCTGTGAGGGCTATGAGAAGTAGAACAGCAAAGGATACCTCTAGCCCTAGAGCCAGAGGTGTAACGGGAAAAGCGTTCGAGAACCAAGACATAGCAAAGGTAAGAAAATAATGAAATGGTCCTTACATTACCCCCCCTTTTTATATTCTTGTCCCAAGAATCTTAGCGCCGCAATCCATGAAGCGGTTTGTGATCCAGTCGAAGAGGCGGGGTTTTTTGGTGGTAGTGGTGAAATTTTTGTAAGGGCGGAATTGTAAGGCTGCAGAGGTGATTACGCGCGGGGCGGCAGGGTGTTTGCGATGAAAGGTGGTGACAAGCAAGGGAGAATTTTTTAGGTGATGATCGGGTTCCCACGTCCTTTCCGTGATCGGGTATCCCTTCCAATGGACGAAGTAATCAAGCTTGACCCCTTTTAGTTTAGTGGGTTGCGAAGCAATGATTTCTTTGGCTTCGTATTCGACTGCACCATCAACTTGGATTGGCAGAGGTTTCGAGGTACAAGGTTGGTTAGGAAATTCCGGCGTGTGATACGGTGACAGTAGTATTTCGTTGAATACGGGATGGATCGCCTTCCATGATCTAGGGACATCAAGGAGATAAGCGGATGGGCCGACCTTTGCTTTCACCGTAAATGGGCCAAATTGCTTATCGTCTAGCTTCTTCATCGGCCGATCGGTGGAAATATGAGTACCTTCTAACCACACCTTATCTCCCTTTTGATACTCTCGTGCTTCCGTGCGTTTTTGGTCGTAATACTTCTTAAGATTCTGATTAGCGAGCAGCAATGATTGCCGGGTCTGCTCATGTAATTTTGTCATAGAAGTTGCGAAGACTTCGGCAGCTTGCGAGCGTCCGGAAGGCTTTTGACCAGTCCCTTTACGAGGGTGAGAACCATAATTTACGAAGAAGGGGGTCTGATTGGTTGCGGAGTGGAGGTGATTGTTGTATGTAAATTCCGCGATTGCTAACCAATCGGCCCAGTCATCCTGTCGGTGGTTGATGAACGTGCGCAGGTAATGTTCCAGGTCCTGGTTTATTCGTTCAGATTGGCCGTCAGTTTGAGGGTGGTAACCCATTGATAGACCAGGCTCAATCCCGAGAGATTGGTAGAAGTCTTTGGTGAAATTTGACATGAACTGAGGTCCTTTGTCGGATATCATTTTTTCGGGATTCCATGTAACCGTATGACTGAATCTCGTAATTGTTTGGCGTAGCCTAGTGAGTCGAGCGTGACATGTGTGGGTACGAAGTGAGCCATTTTGAGAATCTGTCAACAAAGACTTGGATTGCATCGTATCCGTTTGACTCAGGTAATGCTCCGATAAGATCCATCGTGATTATCTGCCAAGGACGATCAGGGATTGGGTTCGGATGGAGGGGAGCATGCGGCTTTTGACGATGCGATTTTGTTCTTTGACATATCTCACATCCTGCGACATATTTCCTGACATCTCTCCTAAGGCTAGGCCACCAGAAAGATCGGTTTACTCCTTTGTACGTCTTTCTTTCGCCTGGATGTCCACTGAGGCTGGTGTCGTGTTCTTCTTCGATAATACGTGCCCTCAACTTTGGGTCCTTGGGTACGTAGATGTTGTTTCTGAATGACCCTAATGTCAATTCGTCTTCTTTCTCGTTTCCTATCCAGATGATTCTGTCTCGTTTCTTCCAAATCTTTGGATCGTCCTTTAACTTCTTTACCACGTAATCATCTAGATTGTGCTGCGAAGCTAGCAGCTCGTCCAGGTAGTGTTCTTCTAACACGTCCTCCATAGTATAAATGTTTGCTTCCGCGAGCTGAGGTAGAAGGACCTGTCCTTCATTGTCTCTCTCGCCTCTCGGATGGTCTACTCTTCGACTAAGTAGGTCCGCTTTCGTGTTTGCCGAGCCTTTTACATGCTCTAACTTGAAATCGTATCTGGCTAGCGTGTCCATCCACCTAGCCTGTCGTCTGTTTACTTTCTGGGGGTCTCGGAAGTAGGTAAGGTTCTGATGGTCGGTGAATATGGTGAACTGGTGTTTAGCTCCCATGAGGAGATGTCTCCATTCTTCTAATGCATGCATTACCGCTAACATCTCTTTATCCCAGATAGCGTAATTTCTCTCTGCAGGGTTCATTGACTTTGACAGGAATATGACTGGTCTCCATTTCCCTTCTTGCTGCTGGGATAACACTGCTCCTGTGGCGTAGTTGGAGGCGTCACATTCAACTTTGAATGGATCCTCATCGTTAGGGATTGCGAGAGTGGGCAAAGTGGTGATTGTCTTTTTGAGAGCGTCAAATGCTTGTTGTTGGTCTTCAGCCCATTCCCAGTCTACCTTTCCGGTGAGAATCATCAGTGGTTTGGCAATTTTTCCATAGTCCTTGATAAACTATCTGTAGAAGTTCAAAAATCCTAGGAACAACTGTAACTCCTTCTTTGTACGTGGTATCGGCCATTCTGCGACTGCTTGTACCTTCAGTGGGTCCATGCAAATCGTGTCATGGGAGATGATCATTCCTAGATACTCAACCTCTTTCTTTTCGAACTCGCATTTCTCTGGTTTGAGATATAACTGATTGTCTGCAAGTATCTGAAGAACTTTGGATACGATCTTCCTATGTTCTTCTAGCGAATCCGTGAATATCATGATGTCATCAAGGTATACAATAACAGATCCTTCGTTTATCAGGTCTCGGAGAAGTCGGTCCATCATTGTTTGAAAGGTGGCTGGGGAGTTCGTTAGTCCCAAGAACATAATTAGAGGTTCGAACAGTCCTCTGTTAGTTCTGAAGGCGGCTTTGTGCTCATCTCCTTCTTTGATTCGAACATTGTTATATCCCCAACGGACATCTAGCTTGGTGAAGAATTTAGCACCTTTGAGCCAATTTATTAATTCTGAAATGAGGGGTAATGTGTATCGGTTTTTGATCGTAAGGGCGTTAAGTTTCCGATAGTCTTGTACCGGTCTGAGAGATCCGTCTTTTTTCTTGATAAAGAAGAACGGGGATGCATAAGGGGATTTTGACACTCTAATCCTCCCTGTCTCCAGGTTTTTTTTTAAGAATTCGTCAAGATGGATTTGTTCATCGCGGTTAAATGGATACGTTTTACAGTCTAGACCTTTGGCTTCCGGCAGAAGTTCAATTGCGTGGTCCCAGACCCGTTGTGGGGGTAGTTTGTCAAATGATGCTTTCGTGAATACTGGCTCAAAACGATGATAAAACGGGGGAACCACGTCTCTGAACGTGAGTGTTGACTTTGCTCGTTCTGATTCTTCTGCAATCTGTTGGCTTTTGGTCTGAGATACGTTGCTTTCAACGGAAATTTTGTCAATCCTGCTCTGTAAGTCTACAGCGATGACTCTATCTCCGTCTTCAGGGTGATACTCCGTATCATCAGAAGGGTACGTGATGGTGTTGGTTTGCCAGTTGATGTTGGGATTCGTGCGTCGTAGCCAGTCGTGTCCTAATAAAATTCTGGTCTCCCTCTGTCCAGTAACCAGGAAGTCCATTAATTCTGTGCGACCAGCCACAGTTAGGCGAAGTGTCACATATTCTGTCAGAGGTCCAGTGCGATTTTTGGTTCCATCTGCGTTTGAAACAATAACACGAGTTGGAAGTGGTTTTGTGGAAATGTTGTGTTGCCGAACAAAGGCTTCGTCAATGATGGAATCTGTGCATCCCGAATCTATTAAAACTGGTATGACATGCGTCTGGTGATCGTCGATGGTGGATAATTGGCATTGTAGCGAGAGTTTGCGTTGATGAGATGGGGGGAGGGATGCGAAATCTTTGATCACATTCAACTGTTCTACGATGTAATCTTCATCGTGTTGCTTGAGCAAGTTGATTGTATCCATCGTGATATGTGGGTAACACTGGGGCGAGGCCCAGTTCCGAACCAATGCTTTGGCTCTTTCTTCTTTCTGGTCTTTAATTCGTCGAGCCAACCATTCCGCTAAATGTGGCTTAGCGTATTTCTCGGCACGTAGGTTTTGGGAAACATGTTTTGATTTATCAGTTACAAATACATTTTCCGAACCGTGCTTACTGGTCAGAGAGTCCGTGCTTACTCCTGACCTTTGAGAAAATCCTTCGTCTTTGTCTCCTCCTGGGTTGTGGTTGCTTCTCTAGCTGCAACTTTCTTCAGAGGGCAGTTTCTTGCGATATGACCCGGCTGGCCACATCCATAACATAATCTGAACCGACTCTGTTGGTCTGTATCCATGGGTATATGACCCGGCTGGCCACATCCATAACATAATCTGAACCGACTCTGTTGGTCTGTATCCATGAATACGCCTTATCCGGGGAATACACCTCTCTGAGGTTGATCCTCGAACCTTCTTGCATACTGATTTGTCTGGGTTTTTGCCATCTGCTGTGGCTGCGGCTGTTGCACATGCTGGTGCATATACGTCTGTTGTCTGTAGATAGGTTGTGACGGCTGCGTGACTTCTCTCTTTTGTCTTTTGTCTAACTGGAACTCTTCTCTCCTTGCCTCCCATGCGTAGGCTTGCGTTTTCCACTCAGCATATATTTTCGGTAGGTCTTTCTGGATGATGACAAAATTGCAGATTCAAGAGTGAAGGTTCTTTTTGAGAATGCGATTGATCACGTCGAAATGAGTGGTAGTGTCATATCCGGCCTTGTCCATGAGCGTTGTGAAGTGGCTAAAGAATTTGTTACAATGCTTATTCTCCTGTTTGTATATTTCGATCTCGTTTACCGCCTGTGATCTTTCGTTTGGATTCCCAAATACTTGGGCTAGATCAGTTAGGACGGTCGAGAGAGTTGGCCATATGGGGGTAGTTGCCGGGGGTAGTTGCGTCGAGAGCTTTGGTAAGCACGTTCTCTTTCCAAGCTTTTACTGTCGACGTTCCTTGGTCGCTGATTTTGGACAGGAGGTAGATGAGCTTCGTCTTCTCGTCTGGAAAGTAGGATGCGTAGGCGGTTAAGTACAACTGTAGTGCTTGGCGCCATGCTATGAATTGTTCCTTCTCTCCTCTGAATTCGAAGGGTTCTGCTGCGAGAGTTACTTTGCCGTGTAACTGCGTGGGATTAGACATGGATGAGGGTTTTGGAGGAATTGGAGGTGGAGGTGGGCGTGTAGGTGGTAGCGGTAGGGTTTGTCTGGGCGGAGTCTCCGGTTCTATGGACGGCTTTGGGTTTCGGTATTCGGAAAACACTTTTGAAGTTTTTGAAACGAGGTTTATTTAATTTGAATCGTAATCAAACTCGTCACTCCAATCGTTAGAAGTAAATCCAAAAACATTTTCTTCTTCTTCCAAATCTCTTTCTACCTGTGAGCTAGTGGTAGAGTTACTGTCCAAGTTCGAGGTTGCTTCATCTGGTGAGGGGGTTCTAGAATTCTCTGTTCATAGACTTTGATCGGTAGGTGCTCTAGGTGTATCGAATTGAACCTGAACAATTCTCTGGATGCTTGATCGGATTCCCAAAAGCAGGTTCGAGCAGCTGCGGATGCGTTCACGAGTAAGCGCGACGTATTGGCGGAGTTGGGAGATTTCGAATGCTAAATCGTCAACGGCTAGAACTAGTCCTTCTAGTTCAGAGATGGGGGAAGAGGCGGCTGATGAGTCTTCGTAGTACTCAATTTCTGTGTCGCTGTGGGCAGGCTGTATTAAGAACAAAGCTTGAAGGAAGTGTCTAGCTACTTGCTGAGAGCAATCAGGGACTGGAACTAGAGTCCAATGTGAGTAACTTTATTATTAGAGAGTATGACAGGTATACAGTACCTAGAGTCCAATGTGAGTAACTAGAGAATAGGAAGCATTGGACTCTGCAATACTGTCCGAAGTTTTGTAAACAAAGGTAAACAAAGCAGCCACAAAGGCGAAATAATAGAGAACACAATCAATAGTGAATGATAGAAGAATAGATAGAGAAAGGAATGAAAATATATAGGTAGCACAAAGGTGCAGAATCACCAAAACTAACAGGCTGGGGGTCCGTGGCAGCGTTGACAGGTACTGCAACGTGGAGGTCTCGGTTGTTGAGGGCGCGGTGGAATTCCTCGAGTGAACGGCGTTCTTCGTCCGTTACTAGGCTCTCTCTGATGTTCGACACTTTGACGATTGTAGAAGTGATCAAAGACGACGGCTAGGGTGAGGACTTGAGCAAGAACAAGTAAGAGTATTACTTCGAGGTGGGTGGGAATGTTGGAGAGGACAACTAGCTAGCTTAGCTAGAAGGCAAGTGGATGTTTTTGGATGGATAGGAGGACGGTGAATGACAGCACGTCCGAGGGATGAAGGAAAAGGTAGGTTAGGGCTATAATGGGTTCAAGCGAGATGGTGCGCTGTGAACGGATTGTAGAGTGAGTTTTTTATTTTGTGAGGCAACGATAAACTATAACAAAAACGAAACCTATCTCCTTCTGCACTTGCAGTGAGTAAGAGGTTCAATGAGCTTGAGGTCGACAGACGCTAGCAAATATAGCGAGTAGAGGACTTTGGAGAGGTAAGCTTCAAAGGTTCTTGTTGAGGAGTAAAGCGGGCAAATTCAGTAATAGAAAACTAAGGAGCCATACATGAATAGGTAAGGCTTTATATAGTGAACTGTTCGTTCCTCAGACCGAAAGGAGAATATACGAAAAGTGGTCTGAGGAATCAATCGACCAATAAGAAAAAGGGAGAGTAACTATTGTACGACTTTTAACTTGATTAATCAGCAGGTGAGAGATTTGTACTAATAATAGAGGATTGTCACGCGTGTTCAGGAACCGTATCCTCATAATGAGGTACGATCCTGAATAAGGTGTTTATTAGTATAACCAGGCTTTACCGGGGCTTGGAGCTGGTTGGCAAGATGCCTACTACCAGTCCCTACCCAGTGTGCTGGCTGGCTGGGAGCGATACCCAGTCTCTGATCTGTGATATAAAATGGTAGTGATGGTTAAGAAAGCCTGTGAGGGCTATGAGAAGTAAAACGGCAAAGGATACCTCTAGCCCTAGAGCCAGAGGTGTAACGGGAAAAGTGTTTGAGAACCAAGACATAGCGAAGATAAGAAAATGATGAAATGGTCCTTACACCATGCCCGCCACTGAAGTCGCGCAGCCTGCTCCACAGGCCACTGTTCCAGGTTTCATGCATCCTATGGATCCAAAAGGGAAGTGTAAGGCGACAACCCCTCCACCGGTGTCGATGATGAGAACTGTTGTTAGAAAACCACACACAAAACAAACTAACACACAATCCTCCCAGATTCCACGGAACTTGTTTATGGGCTTTGCCTCCTAGAACAGTGGAGTGGTCTGGTTGTTCGTGGGGTGGTACGTATAAAGATCCTTCAAAGTAAAACCCAGTGGTGTATGAGTGTGGGTTTTAAGGAGGAGGGATAGTTGAATTTATAGAAAGATAGGGGGTTTGTGGCGAGTATAGACGAGCACTACCTTGCTAATCGTAGCACAAGGTAGGTTTGAGAACAACGAGGATGACGAGGTGACGAGGTTCCCAGTGATAGCAGGCTCCTGACGCACAAACTGTAGTGCTCAGAAGGACTCTAATCGAAGGGGATGACAATCACTTTCAAAAGTGACGAGTGACGATGACAGCAGTTAACAGTGGTAGAAGTGGGAAGTGTTGTGACTGTGAGGAATCGATTTTTCTTATCGCATTCCCGTCATGTCGTGGTTAGCAGACTCAATCCCCGTCACTCCTCTTGCCCTTGGACTAGAGATTACAGCAGGTGTCTTATTACTTTTATCATTTTTCTTCTTATTCTCTCTTCACACTCACGTTCTATCGTACCTACGACGAGGTAGACTCGTTGTCGACCCTCGAGAAGATATCCAGATGACATAGTCACGATCCAGTGCTATGTCTGGGAATACTTCGGAGGAATATTGATAAGCGAAGAAGGTTGTGAGTCAGCGCCTTCTCATGGGCTTACTGATACAGCCAATCGTACATCCCTTACCAATACGCTTTCTCGTACGATTAGTAAAGACGATAGATCGGACCACTTTCTTCCTTTTTTCTTATTGGTTAGCTAGCTGGTCAGACCACTTTCTCAGTACTCCCCTTTCTCGGTCTGACCATCGTCGTTCACTATATAGAGAAGTACATACTTGATGTATTGTTCTCCAGTTCAATATTAGTTTGGATTTGCGCTCTTACCGATACTCTTCATTCTCATACTCTGATTCACCGCCTTCAAGGAAGGACTTGACCAGACATTGGGCTTTGTTATATAGCTTCGTATTTGTTGCCTGACAAAATATTGAACTCACCTACCTCGAATCCTTTTCCAGAGCCCCTCTTTGGAAAACCGTTTCCCTACACCCTGAAAAAGACTGTCGTTGCCACTGCACCGGTCTAAACCTTCATCATCACCTTCTCCACCTCTCTACCATCCCTATCCCTCTCCTCACTATCGTCATCAACCTCTCACTATCCACCCTATTACACCTATTGTCGTTCAGTCTTCTCAAACTGGACGCCTTCTCTGCCATCACCGCTCTCGTCCAATTCTTTGCGTTCTTTGCCATCATCAGATACCTACAAACCGGACTCGTCAGCGACGTCGTCTACCTCCATCGTGTCTACCTCCCAACGGCTCTCAGAAGAGTGGGTATCAGAAGCGGACCGCAGACACCAGAGAGATTTCCTCGCAACTCTCAACAAACAGCTCCCGGTCCTCCCCGTCCCTACCGAAGCCCATACTCCAGACGTGGAAGGAACGGTCGAACAGATCACTGAGTTGTATCAAGACTCCTCTGCTTCGTCTTCACCAATTGATCCGATCGAGGATATCATCCTCGACATAAACGACGCACTCGCTCTCACCCAATCCATTTTTTACCATTCCGCCATCTGTAGGAGAAATTCTCGCAGTCTCGAGGAGATACTCCAACATCTCCGACAGAGCACGGAGAGAACTTTTAATCTTCATATCCCTGCGGCACGAACAAATTCCGTTGATAGATTACTTCGAAAGCCTAGTACGCCCGAGTTACGAGAACACTCAGAGGGTTAAGCTTTTGAAAGGAATAGCCAACGTACAAGAACGAAACCTGCAACTTATTTCGCAGAGCCACGTCCCAGATCTTCTCGATCTTTATCGAATCCGCCCTCTCATTTTTCCAGACATACCCAGCCGCCTCCTCCCTTACGATTTCGAACACACCTTGCTTTGTGGCATTGTGTTAAGGAAGAGGCCTAACGAGGAACCTACCTACGATATCCCGTCCTCATTTTTTACATCTGACTACTACGACACCTACTCCGCCTCTCCTGTCAGTTACCAACCCATCCAGTACTTCTGCATCGGCAATCATCTAGACCACCTTTCTATTGTCCAATATCTGACACGACTTCGCCGAACTCTCTACCTCCCTGAAGTCCACGATCTTGACGCATTCGGGCCGCGGTTTGGTCTTCAACACAGCACTTCCATTATCATTGTCACGCCCTCTACTAAAGATCATATTCGACGAGTTGTTGCTGCGTTAGCACGATTTGATCAGCTCATCGCAACTGCTCAGAGGAAATCCCGTGACGGAGAAGACTACACGACCGAAATCGACAACATTCGACACGTTTCAGAATACGTCGACGAATATTACTGGATCCTGGAAATCCTCACTCCATTCGTTGTTAACCAACAATCTGACCACCCCGAACGTTTCATTGTTACAGTACTCCAAAGCGATTTCTGGGCCGTTATCAACCATAGCTCACGAACTCGTATCTATTCGCAATACTCTTACACCTACCAAGGTCGGAGAGGAGAAGCACCGCTCATCCCGTCGGTTGAACAACTTTTTGCACCTTGCGCAGAAAGGATAGAACGAGAAACAGGAAGTTCATTAACAGATATACTTGGAGGAGAATCTAGCAGCGAAACCGAGTCGGAAAGTGAAGAGTCTATTCAAAGCGTAGAATACTGGAGACCCCGAGAAGCAGAAGGAGGAGACTTCCCTAGTAATTTTACGTTTGACCCAGACTTTGAGTAAATAAAAAGGACCAGTTATCTAGAAAGACTTGTTATCTAAACCCGTTATCTAACCCGTTGAAAATCTGGAGCCTTATCGAGAACCCCGTCCTCTGGTCACTCCCGACACACCTCCCCCACAATCTCTAGGAGCTGCTGCTGAAGCTCTAGAACCAGACGATCTGTATCAATCAGCAGGACCAGAAAACTTTCCTCCCCCACCTTCAACTCCGGAACCCGAAAACCAACCCGACGATTGGTTCGATCAGGAATCTTTGGACCTTGAACCTGATCTAGCAGCAGCAATGGCCGACGAAACAAATCAAGGAAGTAAAGCTGTCCTTGCCACTCCTCCATTCGAATTCATCGGTAAAAAGGAAACATACGTTGACTGGAAGAACGCTTTAGCAAACTACTTTTTCGCCTATCCCAGAAGTTTCCAAACCAACTCCTCCAAAATCCTCTTTGCACTATCCCGGATCTCGTCCGATAAAGCCAATGACGCCTGTCATACATGGAAGGCGAATTTCAACAACAAAACCGCAGTGCTAGGAGACCTATTTGCACCGCGAAATTGGGGAACTATCTCAGAATTCATCAAGGAGTTAGATAACGAATTCTTGGACCCCCATCTCAAGTTGAAAGCAGAGATTGCCCTTCACGATTACGAACAGCGAGAGATGACGGTAGACGCATATTTTGGAGGACTCGAATCCAAACTCATGGAAGCAGGATTACCACCAGACGCAGATGAAAGTTATCCGTTCATTCACAGTATCCTTCGCCGCAACCTCTCTCAATTCCTTCGTGATCGTATCTCGCAACAGGAAAACCTACCCACCACGTACTTAGAGTGGAAGGCAGCAGCAAGGAAATGGGAACAGCGAAATGAAGAGCTTAATCTGGAAAGGAGGAGAGATAAACCACCTCAACAGAGGCTGCCAACTCAGTACCAACGATATCAACCGCGCTATCAGCAGAACCGAGACTACCCTCCGCCACAGTATCGACAGACAGTACCGCGAACAGAGACGCGAAGACCACAATATATCCAACAGCGACCGTATTATACTCCATCTCATAGACCACCGCCCCAGAATGCAGTCCATCCAAACACAGCAGGAACGTTTGGAGGATCAGGTGTACCTATGGAGATTGGGAGTTCCAACACGCAGAGACAACATCGGCCCAACCCGAATGTTACTTGTTACAACTGTGGCGAACGAGGCCACATTGCTAGAAATTGCCCACATGGAAAGATGGCAATACGATATATGGAAACGGAGGAAACCAAAGACACTCCCACTACATCGTCATTAAAAGAAATCGAAGCACCCCCGAAGGATTTTCAGAAAGGTCAGGAGTAAGCACGGACTCTCTGACCCGAAATGTTGTAATTAACCCTCGTATATTACCAACGACTGCAATGAAACGAGTTGATCAACATCTACGTGCTGTAACCGAAACCTACGCAAAGCCACATTCACCGGAATGGTTGGCCAGACGAATCAAAGACCAGAAACCAGAAAGAGCAAGAGCTCTGTTACGAAACTGGGCCCATAAAGATCACTACGAGCATATCACCCTGCAGGCGATACAGATGCTAAAGAACCACGACGAAGAGAACATTATAGAACGCATCCATGCTTACACCTCGTCGCACAACCCTACGTCAAAACGAAGCCTCCACGTCATTTCTCAAGTCACTACCATAGACGACAGACAGACATTCACCGTCCCAACCCTTATCGACTCTGGTTGCACCAACTCGGTTATCGATCGAAGCCTGGTTGACAAGTATACCCTCAATACTACGCCTCTGCCCATCCCTCTTGACGCTGCAGGAGCCGATGGTCGATCCCAGAAAGTAACACACTATGTCACTCTTCACATCAATGTGAAAGGGAAAGAACATTTGATAGATGTCATCGTAGCATCTCTACTTTCACCACGCATACTGCTTGGATACGACTGGTTGATACTGACGAATCCAACAATTGATTGGCGGACCAACAAGATTACCTTCCCTGCTGATGATCCGGAGTATCATCCTGAAGAAGG